AAGCATTTCTGTTAGTTGACCAATTTAATTAAAAATTTTATTTATAATTTCTTTATTTATAAATTTTCAAAGCTGTATTTGTAATTTTTTGGAACGAGAAAAAAAAAAATGTCTTTAGATCTTTTCTTTTTTTATCATTTGTTTACAATGTATATTCTGTGAATATAATATTATTTGTAGATAATAAGTGTCACTTATATCGATAAAATATTCTGACTAATTTCATTAGTTGATATTTATTTAATTATTTCATTTCTGCATTATTCTTTAAACAAGCCTTGTTTCAACTAAAAATATTCGATATCTAAAACAGTAAACTACTCAAGGATCTTAAAGTACTGTGTTTGATTTAAAATTAGAGAAATGATATAATATTTTGAAGTTGACTAGTTAAACGATTTCTCTCATGTTTCCTGCGAATTCTTTCACGCACAGTAAAAATAGTAGTAATTGGTATTATTGAATCATAAATAATTACATATAATAGTTTGGATCCTTGGAAGACCCTTAAAGTGCCTTCATCCGAAGTGTTTTAAATTAACAAAAATTATATTATAATCCCAGAGAAATACTTCAAACCCGTTCGTCAATCCGTGACACCGCCATTCCAAAAAATCGAAACTCCATTGATAATCCCCTTATTTAACTATCCTCCAATTCGAGAACAAAACAGTTTCAAAGTATATATCTTCTACTCGCACTCTGATCAATATAGCGACTAATAACAAGTAAAAAAGAAGCGTACACGCACTCACGCACACACATACACACAGAGAGGAAGTGAATATCGATCGACCAGACGATTCTCAAGTTCTAAGTTCTATCGCCAGATCCGGGGACTTTATTAGACAATTAGAACGTCTTCCTGTCGATTGACGACGAGAGCCGAACAATAGAAGCCGGTGTCCGATCGTTATTCAGTGTTTTCACGACGGACTTCCGGTGGACGGGACTTTAGAACGACGCGAGCAGCAGCAGCAGGCTGGGTTTCGAGGATAGTTCCCTGGGAAACTGTGCGGGATTAAGTCGGCGGTTCGAGTGGACTTCTAATGGGGTGGAAACGAGGCTTTTGGAGGGAGGTTTAAGTTTCAAGTGGCCGGCGTGTAACTGGCCGTTAAATGGACAAGCAACGGCATCTGAGAGTGTTGGTCTTTTGGTAAACGATGAAAGGAGGTGTGTGGTTTCCAGACGGTGGAAAAGTAAAGCCACGGGTATAGGAGCTCGGTCCTGCCAACGATTTACGAACGATTCTCTCTTTACCGATGCGAGTAAATTAAATATTCCTAGTACTTTCATAACATCCTTTCAATAATTAACTGGTAACATACTGGAGCTTTTCAACATTTTTAGAATCATTTTGTCGCACACGTTTCGACGAAAATAAATTACATAAAATGATAATGTATAACGTCATTTAATAATTTTCAATTCAATTTAAGATGTGATTTATTTTTCCACTTTATAACTTCCTTTAAAATCTGAATGCGCGTTATCAATTTTTTTGAGTCGCTATCGGAGATCGCCATTTGTCGACCTTCGTTTAACCAAGTAATCAAGTCCAAAATTGGAAAGTGAAAAAAAGAAAAAAAAAATGAAAATATTAGCACTGTTTTTTTTTTTTTTTTTTTTTAAATTTATCTCGAAATTTACTATCATTCTTCCAATGAATGAACTTACGAAGATAAATGATCTTATCCTCGTTGCACGAGGATTAAATACTAATCATGTAGTTGAACAATGAGATTGTGAAATTTACAAAAATTGGAGTT